GGTAGTTCATAGTTGTCTTCCCCACCCCCACCGTCACCCCCTTATGTATATATAGACATATATTACATGTTTGATAGAAATAGATAATAAATTACGGAGTATTTTCTTTTTTTCTTTGGGTGCAAGATAATAAATCTATCTATTTATATATAATAAACTAATTTACTATACTAATAAGAACCCAAGAGAATTAGACCTATAATGGGTAAAAAAAAAATGGCGGTTAAATTTTTTAATCAAATGAATGGGATCAGATTTTAATTTTTTTCTTACGATTTTCTAATATATCTCTAATGAATATGATTGAAGTGAGAACTACCTCACAATGTCCTTGTTTGACAATTAGCATTTAGCGGTTAGCGTTAGCGGATTATATTAGTCAATTTGACCAGCGAATTATATCAACGGTTGGTAAAAAGATATTTGAAAAAAATTAGGTGTTTAGATTAACATGTAAAATGACCTAAGGGTATAATAATAATAATAATAATAATAATAATAATAATAATAATAATAATAATAATAATAATAATAATAATAATTGTTTTTTTTTAAAATATATAATTAAGCCATAGTAACTACTTAGGGGATTTATTGACAAAAAGAGTATTCATATCACACAACAAATTGAAGTGAGAAACTATTTCGCAATGTCCTTGTTTGGAATTCAGCGGTTAGCTCTTCAATATTAGTATATATATAATATTTTATGCCCTAATTTTTATTTGCTCTCCCTTATGTCTCGTAATTGGTTTCAACCATACCTATACAATTATAATCAATTTTGACTATATTATCTTGCATTTGTAAACTTAGAATTGCCTATTTAAATACGCAAATTTAACATTCAATTATCTATGCATGAACAATTCCAATATAATTTTACCTTGATATACTTTAAAGTACTTATTAAAAAAAAAAACATTGGGCATTATCTCAATCGCGCAATGCGCGTAAAAAACTAGTATATAAACTAATAAGAGCCAACGAAAACTAAAAAATGTCCGTCCAATTATTTAATGAAATAATTTTTTTTTTATTTTCCTACTTTACTCTCAATTATATTATTTTATTCTCTTAAACGCCCTAGCATTCTGTTAGTATAAACTTTAGTAACGAAATCCCCTTAACTATTTATTATTCTTTAACTTACTTATTGATTTATATAAGAAAGGTCTTAGGCTCGAACCTCATTACAATCAAAGTTGGCATAATTGTTGAATATATAGTTATATACTACAAATATGTTAGAGTGTATTTACAAAAATAATATAAAATTAACATTAACTTTAATCAAATAATTAGCTCGACTAAATAAATATCATTCAAAGTTGAGCATCAAAGATTACAAATAAAAAATCTTGAAAAACATTTTCTTGGATTAAAAAAAAAATTATGTCAAGTTTTCTTTTTCATTTTTTTCATTTAATTAATCTTCTTTTGATTATTTAGAAGACACAATATTTCAATTATGCTTTTGCATTATTGAGAATGATTTAGGTCAATATGGTATTGATATTTTTTGCCGGTATTTTTATAATGGTATAATTATACATTACTTTACAAATATTGTACTATTATTTTTTACCAGATAAAATTGTTTTTGCATCATTGTCAAACATGCGTGACCTAACTATAAAATTGTTGACCATAAATATAAGTACACTTGATTGGACTCTAAATGGTAGGACCATTGTCTAAAGAATTTACAATGTTGACACCCAAGTGGCTCCAATTGAACAAGTTTACACATCATTCTCAGAATTTTATCAATGAATGAGAACTTCTAAAGAAATTTGTAATTTAATTTTACAAAACACACACAAACACGCATACACAAAATCAAGTACTACACTTCCAAAAATATGAACTTCAAAATGAACATGTACAAAATGGATGTGGAAATTGTTGATGAAATTGGATACATTGCGGTATTAGTAGTCGGACTACATGCAGAGTCATTGTTATTACTATCAAGTAAACAAGTTATGAAGCTATAACAAAAGGTACTACTCATGAACCTTATCCAAATATAATAAATATTAAAATTTTGTTCAATACTTCACACGAGAATCTACGACACACGTCTCACAACACATGAAACATGTATGGAAAAAAATACCACTGCCAAATATCAACAGGCGCTTGCAAGATCAAGAGTTTATAGTACAACTAAGATCATAGTCATATACACAACAAGGCAATTTCACAGCTTCCTACACCATAATCTCATTGCATGACGCTGCGCTATATGCTACCATCAGTAATCCAATTGCACATGACACATTACCAATAAAAAAAGAAGATGACAAATACTGAAGATGAAGATAATGACAATGTTATCCAAAAGAGAATTAAGAAGACTTTTGAGAAATTCAAACCAAAAGTAGTATTAATTTAGACTATTGGTTTTTGACTAAGTATTTTTACAAAGTTGCAAACATTTATTTTAGTGACAATTATAAACAATCTCTCGTATATTATCTTGCATTCATATACTTTGAATTACTGATTTAAATAAACAAATTCAACATTTAAGTACCTATGCATGAACATCTCCTATATAATTTTGTATTGATATACTTTAAAATACTTATTTAAAAATAAACATGGGGCATTATCTTATTCACGCAATGTGTGTGAAAAAAACTAGTTATATTATGTACAAAGGTTATTAAAGGTTGAGATAATTTAATTGATGGTAAGTATCATGTTATCTAAAAAGTTTACGGGGCATTTGATTGGATGAAGAGAATTATATTGGAAAGAAATTTCAATTTCAGGGAGAGAAATAATGTGTGAATAAAGTAAACGTTTAAATTGACACTATAGTTACTTTCAAAAAAAAAATAAAAAAATTGACACTTATATTTCAATACAAATTTTCATATTAACCGATCTGACTCGTCTCGCGATTAACGATTGCATACAAGTGACTCAATCTCAAAAAATGGAAATCACATTATTCACCTCACAAAAGTTATGTTCCACTTACAAATTACTTTACTATATTACTTTTGAACAAAGTTGCCATTTGGCACTAAAAGCGTTAATATTAATGATTGGATGCGCATACACAAGTTAACATATATAAACAATATTTTTTTTTTTAAAAAAAAAAAACGAAAAGTAATTAAGGTGGTCCATAAGAATCACCAATATCTGTAAGGTGCACCCAAGAATCACCAAAATCTGCATTCAGCTGCCACGTACCCTAAAATTATTACGTCTGCTCTAATATAAATGTTATTTATTCTCCCCAACAATATTTGACGATTGTATTACAAGTGGGGAGATGGAGTCTATTATTAGGAAAAAATCAAAATCAAAAATAGATATTTTAAAAAATTGCCTATTGTTAGAAAAGAAGAAACCATTGTAATGAATTAAAGATACATCATGTTTGGTATGTACTGTTACGATACGTAAATTAGTGCGTGTCAATTTTTTAATTCAAAGTAAAATCAATTAATTTATGAACCGTTAAAAAATATAAAGATTTTTTAATGTAATAAATTTCTTTATTTATGGTTTTTTTTTGGAAAGGAAACTGCATAGTAGATTAAATGTCGAGTTAATACCCAAAATCGTCCTCGACTATAGTGGTTTTTTTCAATTTCGTCCTAAACGACTTTGGTGACCTAATATCGTCCCAGACTTTTGTGTTTCGCTCAATTTAGTCTTCCATTTGTTATTCCGTCAAATTGGTGTTAAATTAAGGGACAATTCAGTAATGTCAATATTGATGTATCTTTACTTTCAACTTGTGAAGTGCGAAATTCCTCTTTCTTGTACGAATTACACCCAGAATTACTCCCGGACTTGCAAATCAAATTTTATATTCGCAGTTTTAGGAGTAATTCTGGGAGTAATTTGTAAAAAAAAAAAAGATTTCGCAGTTCACATGTCTATGAGTAAAGAGATGTCAATATTAAAATTACTGAATTGTCTATTTATTTAACACCAAATGGACAGAATAACAAATGAGGGACTAAATTGAGCAAAAATACAAAAATCTGGGACTAAATTGAGCGAAACACTAAAGTCTGGGACGATATTAGGTCACCAAAGTCGTTTAGGATAAAATTGAGAAAAATCACTATAGTCGAGAACGATTTTGGGTATTAACTCATTAAATGTCAAAAGAGAGTACAGAAAGAAGGGATGAAGGAATAGTTAGAAATTTAGAATCACATAAATTATGCGTTTTGATTCCCAAAATGCAAGCCAAATCTCAAATTTTCCAAAATAAAAATGAAAGATAAATTTCATTTTGTCTCTTTCCTATTTCCCTCACACATTTTAATTCAAATATGAACAACATATAAGGTCAAATGAGCCCACTAAAGAAAATATAAATGTAAAGAAAGACAACAACCAAAAAAAGATTAAAAAATATTATTTGTATTAAAATTCTCATAAATCTTACAAAAGGTGTTTGGTAAATAGCTAATAGCTGATTAAGTTGGTGGGTTTAACTAGTTAATATCATTAGCTGATTGTAGAAAGATATTTGGTAAATTAGCTGTTAGCTGATAGTATTTTTTGAGTAGACCCAGAGTTTCCATTGTCGGACACAGTGACTAATCCCCTTGCTGAATTGTAAGCACTTTTTTTTTTTAGATGGGACAACTGACCTAGAGATTTAAAGCTGTTAGATGATAGTTGATTACATGCAAAATGATTTTCTCAAAAAACTGATCAAAAAAATTATTTTGAGCAGTTTTTTAAATTTTAGCATTTTGACGTTTAGAACAATAAACTGTTATAGAAAACTAATTAATCATTATATTAATCGTTTAACCAAGTCAAACACCTAATAGTGATCAAATATGTTAAAATTGACTGATAAACTAACTATGTTACCAAACCGGGCCAAAGTGATTTTATGTTATTAATCTAAAATTGATTTAGGAGTAATTAATTTATGCTATACAAAATAGTAAAAAATAAAATAAAATAAAAAGACCTGATCATAATTTTCAAAACAACAAAAACGGGTCAAAGTACAGAAGCTGTGGGTTTCTTTCCTTTCGTCTAATAAGTTGTTCGTCTTCATCTTCACGAAACTAAATCTGAAAACATTCATTCATTCATTCATTCCAATGACTTCCCAGAAAACATCAACAATACACTAACAAAACAATCCATTTCCTCGGGTTCAGCTCCCCTTTCATTATTATATACTCTCTCTCTCTCTCTCTCTCTCTTTTTCTGTACTCGGCGGCACATCGTCTAAAATCTCAACGTCCACGAACTCTTCAAGGTTCTTCTTCTCGACCCACTCTCTTGTTTTCTTTAATTTTCAGGTATATGAAAACGGGCATGTTCAATTTCACTTAGCTTCTTTGTTTTTGCCTGAATTGAATGTGGGCGATCCGGGGAAATACAGTAATACTCTAATATTGAACTTATATGCATATATGTGTGCTTGGGAACACTGTTTATGGAGCTCCTGATTTGGTTTTCTGCAGTTAAACTTTAGCTAAACTTTTAATGGTCTTAATTATTGTGAATTTTCCAATATTTTATTCTATTTTTGAGTGATTTATAGTGAAGTTTCTTTTTAATCTGGATTTTATTTATGCAGTATTCTTTTTTTCTCCCTTTGTGTTTGGATGCATAAGCAATTGAAGTAATTGCTGTTTATAGAATTGGGAAATTTGGCAGTCTAAAGAATAAAGATTTTGTCTTTATCATTAATGTAATGGATAAATGAAAAGCTACAATGCCTCTTGGAAATTTGTTTTACTTATTTAAACCCATACGTATACTCTTTTGGGTTCATCGATGTAACATGCCGGGCTGTTCTGCTTAAAATATTTGTGCATATCCAATAATATCTTATACCCTTGAAGTTTTTTTTTTTAATTTTTTTTTATTTTTTTTTATAATAATATTATGTTGATTTTTCTTCTGTCTTCATTGAATTGATCAGCAAGTCCTTTGCGGAGTTTCCACGTCTGTACTAAGACTATAGTTTAATCCTCTGAGAATCAGTTTTGTACGGTATCTTGTGATTCAACAGCCTAAAGTAGAGGCTCAACTTTTGGAATTCAGTAGGAAGAACTCAATCACATCCTTTTGCAGAGAATTTCCGTTCAAAAAGGGGAACCAGAGGTTGCTGACCTTTAGGACTGCCATTCTCGACGTTTTTGTGGGGTATAGTTATATATATATATATGTGATTCTTGCGGTGAGAACACATGCTAAGGTATTGCGATGGGGTCTGCAAACATGGAGAAGAAATGGGTGTTTCCTCTTTGTATCAGCTCACTCATATGTATCTTCCTTCTTGCGACCTCGTTTAATATGGGCCTGCTTTCTTCGCTACAAATCAATTCAATTTTCTCAATCTTTCCATCCCGGCTTGCGTCGAATCAAACGAGCTCGTATTTTGCTGAAGCAAAAGTTAGGCAATCTCCACCTCCTTCTAGTGGTCCTTCTGTTCCACGTTTTGCGTATCTGATATCCGGTTCAAGAGGTGATCTAGAAAAGCTATGGAGGACGTTGCAAGCACTGTATCATCCACGCAACTACTATGTTGTCCATCTAGACCTAGAATCCCCGGCAATAGAGAGGCTAGAGCTGGCCTCCAGAGTAAAGAAAGATCCGATTTTTGTGCAGGTTGGGAATGTCCACATGATTTCCAAAGCTAATATGGTTACTTATCGAGGGCCCACAATGGTTGCTAATACCCTTCACGCCTGTGCCATTCTTCTCAAGAAGCACGCGGATTGGGATTGGTTTATCAACCTCAGTGCCTCAGATTATCCCTTAGTGACTCAAGACGGTTAGTTCTGCATTTTTGGCATGCAAAAAATAAATCTTGCTTTTTTGACTCTATTTGTTTGGAGGAGGCGTTTGATTTATATGTTTTTTTTTCTTGCCAGATCTTCTTTACACATTCTCTGGTTTAAAGCGAGAGTTAAACTTCATTGAGCATACAAGCCGGCTAGGCTGGAAGGCGTAAGCTCTCTGTCACTCTTATGGTTACAGGGGTAACAAGAATTTTGGTCTTACTATATTGCTATATTAATTCTGTTGCAGGGGTCAACGGGCGATGCCATTGATTATAGACCCTGGCCTCTTTCAGAATACCAAGAAAGACATATTTTGGGTAACTCCACGGAGAGAATTGCCCACCGCCTTTAGACTCTTTACTGGTGAGTTTCATATTCCTTTTTTTTTTTTTTTTGGAGTACTATTGACCCTGTTACATGTAGTGTCTGTTTATATATACTTTCTCAACCTACTGAAGCCCAACGAGTCAATACCGCCCCACTAAGGCTTGAACCCATGACCTCCCATTTCAGAGAGTCACTTCATGCTGCTTGACCAAGGTCTTTGGCATGAGTTTCATATTGCTAATTTTGAAGACTTGGTTCAATCATGTAGGAAGTCTGCTAATCTCGCTCTTAAAAGTTCAAACGTGTTATTTCCCGCTAAAGTAATTGTATGGAGTTAAAATTAGATCATCTTCTCTGCAGGTTCAGCATGGATGATCCTCGCAAGGCCATTTGTGGAGTACTGCATATGGGGGTGGGATAATCTTCCCAGGACCCTACTTATGTACTACTCGAATTTTGTCTCGTCTCCCGAAGGATACTTTCAGACTGTCGTATGTAACGCCCCGGAATTTGTACCAACCGTGGTCAATAGTGACATGCATTATATTTCTTGGGATGTTCCTCCTAAGCAGCACCCGCACACTCTCAGCCTGAATGATACGGGCAAGATGGTCGAGAGCTCTGCTGCCTTTGCTCGGAAATTCAGGAGGAACGATCCTGTATTGGATAAGATTGATGCGGAATTGCTTCACAGACGAAATGGTAGCTTCACCCCGGGCGGTTGGTGTGCTGGAGACCCTCTTTGCTCCAAGGTTGGAAATCCCTCCGAACTTAAACCGGGTCCTGGGGCGAAAAGGATCGGGCGTCTTGTAGGTAAACTAGTTTTGTCAGCAAAGTTAAATCAAAATCAGTGTAATTAGAATAGTGGTGTATTAATCTTGTGTGTTGATTGAAAATGAAAAGTGGGATTGGGAAGTCTGTTCATGGAAGCTCAATAATATCAGTCAGGGAAATTTGAAGAACTTTTGCTGCACCATTTTTGCATCCCCTTTCTGATAAACACCACTTACTGCAAAATCACTTCATTCTTTCTCTTTTACTTAATCTTGTGCAGTCTGAAATTTGTTTCTAGGTTTATTTGAATCAATCAATATTCAATACTCACTACTCAGTGTACACCCTCAGATAGTGATTGTGGGTTGATTTGAGCCGATCAATATTTAGTGCACACACTCAGATAGTGACTGTGGGTTGATTTGAGCCGATCAATCAGATAGTGACTGTGGGTTGATTTGAGGCGATCAATATTCAGTGCACACTCTCAGATAGTGACTGTGGGTTGATTTGAGCCAGTCAACTCTCAGATAGTGAATGTGGATTGATTTGAGCCAGTCAATATTCAGTGCACACTCTCAGATAGTGACTGTGGGTTGTGGGTTGATTTGAGCCGGTCAATACTCAGTCTCAAATAGTGACTGTGGGTTGTGAGTTGTGGGTTGATTTGAGCCGGTCAATATTCAGTGCACACTCTCAGATAGTGACTGTAGGTTGGATAGTGACTGTGAGTTGATTTGAACTGGTCAATATTCAATGCACACCTTCAAATAGTGACTACTGGTTAGATTTCACAATCGAGCCTTACCTCATCTATTGTTATGGAAGTAAATGCTATTAAAATTGCAAATAATGTTTTTATGGCACAGAGCTAGGATTAACAGTAAACAAATTGCCAAAGTTGTTGGTCTCTTGTCAGTTTCAAGTCAAGGCCAACAACTAAGAAACTTCAACTTGAGAGCAGAAATAGACAGAGAATCCAAGAGGGAAGACTTTAGGGTTTCAAAGTCATTGTCTTTGAAGGTTTACTCTTTCAACAAAATAGAAATTGGGTTTTTCAACATCTGCAGAAGAAGAAGCTTCATTGGAAATTTCCACATCACAGAAAATGTGCATTTTAACCCCATCTCCCTGATTGTGAGAACAGCAGAATGTACAAAGAAAATCGACAATCTCACCGCGTTCCCTAGCTCAACTTCCGTTCATTGTTTCCGCTATTAACTAATTGCAAAAATCTGTTTCCCGTCTGTCTGTGTTGGGTGTTGCTTCGGCCTTCTATGGGTTTATCTCGGCTATTACAGTAAAGTACCTTTGCTTATAGCGACGATTTACTGGTGCTGCAACTCCCTCCTGAACCAAACGCTTAATTCTGCTCTTCGGCCATCCCCCCTAGCCAATTTTCTCAATGGAGCCTCGAGATTATCAGCTGTGTTAAACCATCTCCAAGAGCTTGATGTCACCCATGGAATTTGCGGCTACTAAGGTGGAGGACTGGCCCCGCCAACAAACAGACGAGATAAATTGCATACCGTCATCCATTTCATCACCAGAAGGGTCTGTGCTGTTAAATTTGTACGATAATGCAGGCATTGGAAAGGCTTTGTGGTAGACGAAAACCTGCAGCGTTTCAGAAGCTTTAGGAAATCGAATAATCCGTTATAGAATTAACGGAAGACAAATTTCAAATATGAACTTTAGATGGAAACATTCGAAGAAAATAACTCCCAAACATTAATGTACATGCCACGCCACTCAACAATGCAATAAAAGAACATGGCAAGTGATACCTCATTTGTCTCGGAGCCAGTGGCAATGAATCCGTCGCATACAGACAGGCCGACAAAGTTCTGAAACATTAAAAAAAAAGGCGTTTCTTTAGCGGTGAACCGTGTTTTAATATACTATGATGAGCTCACAGATTGAATTCATTGGCCTCGGTTCTAACTGATGCCTTTAGTTTGAAAATTGTTTTTGGCCACAGTTCAACTAGGCATCATATAATGGCACAAACTAGTGGCTTTAAAAATGGAGAAAGAAAAACCAGCTTGGTGGGCGTGAGTGGCCGTGCACTCTCATCCCTTAAGAGAGGTCGGGAGTTCAAACCCCCTCTCGTATGGAAAAACCAATCTGGCCAGCACTTTGACCCTTAATTGGGCCGACCCGGTGCGAATGGGGATTAGTCTGAGTATGGTACGGGCTTAAAAGTGTCTCCTACAGTTAGGACCTGCTCAGGACACCTCATGGTCTGACCAAAAAAAAATGGAGAAAGGAAATACCTTCACATTCATGTGTCCCGTAAATGACTGAACGGGACAATCAAGAACCCGAGATGCGCACATGGACAAATCCCAAAGCTTTATCGTGTTATCTGTAGAAGCAGATACGAGCGTCGTTGAATCAATAAACTTGATGTAGCTCACTGTCTTCTTGTGCCCCATTAGTGTGCATAAAGGCATTTTGGAGTTTCGAAGATCGTAGTAATAAATCCTATGATCAGCTGAACCAAACGCAAGAGTACGACCGGAATCGAAAGGGAACTGAACGCAGCACACGTTCGCTTTCGTTTTGATGGTCCCGACACAAGCGCCCTGCAGCAACAACCCATGTAAGAAAAACAACTTATTACACACTTTGAATTCAATCCACAACGAAACAATAATTAGATTACTGTTAGTACGTTTAGTTTCAAAGCTGACATCCACCAAGTGCAAAAGTAGAATTGCCTGATTGATATTCCAGAGTTTAACAGAGCCGTCATCACTGCCGCTGGCTAACAATGTTGGATCGGCCACCGAGAAATCCACGGACCAGACCCGCCTCTCGTGCTCTTTCATTTCCATGAAAAGTTGACTTCTTGTAACATCCCAAACCTGAACAATAAAAAAACTTATTAACTCTTCATTTGAGTAGTTTCAATGAAAAACAGTGTTGCAAAAATCGCGCCTAGGCGCCGATTAGGCGCCCTAAGCGCCCGCCTAGGCGTTCTAGGCACCCACCTAGGCGGTCCCCAGGCGCCTAGCGATTTTTTCAACATTGATGAAAAGTAAACATAATATGGGGATCTGGCGTACCTGTACCACACCTTCAAAGTTACTCGAAGCAATCTGGCTTTTTACATAGCTATTCCAACATATACTGCTTAGCTTTGATCGACTAGACATCTCAACTACAGGATAATGAATATCGCGATCTTGTTTTAAGATTGAATTATATTCGAAGACCTTGATCTTCTTATTCACACCAGCAGTCGCGAAAAATTCACCGTCACGATCAAAGCTGAGAGAGCATACAAGATTTGAAGAGTTTAGGAGATCCCCTTGCTTTAAGTTTGCCTTCTCTTCTAACTTACTAAAAGACAGGTACTTACACAAGCCCTCAAGGAATGAATTGATCCATCCACTTTGTGTCTCCTCATTACGCCCCCCTCCTTTCGACGACAAATTACTCACAGAACTTCTTTCAGTCGCGCCAATGGAGCCCCTACCGTCACTGCTGATTTGAGAATATCTACTCAACGGTTTGGCTGCCGGTTTTAAAGCTCTGCGTCTTGTCAGGAAATAAGCGGACTCCAATTTTCTGAAATTCTTTACCAGCCTCGAACTTTTCGAGAGAAAGCTCCCTTGACTTTCAACAGGTGTCTCGTGTTCATCTGCACGGTCCTCCACGTTGCAGGTACCAAACCCCGTCCTGCTCCGTTTTCTAGATCTAGAGCTTCCAGAATCATCATCCTCGGTGATATTTCCCCTATTCGACGCAGACTTCTTACCCTGATCAAGGTTTGAATCTCCTTTTTTCCTGAGGGCCGATTGCATATTTGTAACTCCTTCCAAATCAGAAGACAGAAACGATATTATCTCGTTCAAACTATCTGCAACCTCCTGTTTTCTCTGTTGGATTAACAAAAGGAACTCCAGCAACAAGTCCTGCTCGTCTATTTTTTCTCTAAGTGCTATTGCTCCTTCCCATTCTTCTAAGCTTTCTCTTGGATCATTAAGGAACTCACTTTGCAACAGCTCACTGTAATACACAGCAAAGAGAATATGAGAACGGAAATTTGAAGGTCTTCCGATTGTCCAAATCAAGGAATGATGATAAAAGATCGCAAAAAATAAGCAGCTTTCAATAAAGTACGTCCCTTTTGCCAGATTGAGGAAGAATGGGTTAGATGCTATAAGAGAGCATACATGATCAGCTCGAGAGTTCAACCATGGTGATATTTAGCTCATTGAATGTAAACACTTTGTATACTCAAAGTGAAATTGTCTTAAAACCGAAAGTGAACCCATCAGTTCTATCAATGTTGACAAAAAGTGAATGCACGGTACCCCATTTCTTTGTTTTTTTTTTTTCTTCTTTTTCCACTTTTGGTATAGTAATGAAAATCTTTTGAAAGGAATAGTTAGGCAGTTAGTAAAGTAAAAAAATAAAAGAAGCACTTATGCCAACTTGATATAGAGTAAATATAGTATAAGTACAAGATGATGGCAAATGTGCGGCAGTCAGAACCTTTATCAATGTATAGAAGATTAAAAAAAGAAAAGGTGTAATGCTGCCTATGCTGAAGTTTATCGATGAAACATTATTGATCATACGGGGTGAAGGGATTATGTCGATGCTATAAATGAGAATGCTCATATCAGTTAATAATGTACTCTTGTAAGAACTTTGAAAAGCAAATAACGCAGCATTCCAGACATTGTAGAGAATTAAAAAGCAAAAGACGGGACCTTAAGCATATTTAGATGACAATAAGAAAACGAGGCTCACCCCAAATTTGGCCTACTACTTGGCTGAGGGTGCAGTAACCACAAACAAAACGAAGCTTCTTTGGGCCACTTGAGTAGCAACTGAGGGGGGAGCACGCGATGTCTGAGACTAGACATAGTTGCACTTTTTTCTTCGGGTGAATGGAACGTGCAGAATAGCTGCTCACAAGTGAAATGCCAGTTCGTAAGGCTAGGAAACAATAAGCCTAATTCAATTTATCAATCACTAATGACTAACCTCAAAGAGAAGAACTCCAAGTCGATAAACGTCTGAAGCACAAAGGCTGGTCTCACCAGAAACCTCTTCTGGACTAGTGTACCAATTGGTTTCCAAGAGCAATATCTTTTTCATGGGAAACGAATGCTGCTGCTTCTCCTCGGGGGCTTGCTGGTTCTTATCGGCCTCTAAAGTCTGCATAGCA